AACTGAAAATGAAGATTTGTTGCAATTGCTGACACTATTTCTCTCTGATCGGAGAGAGCTCTCTAGTAAATGGTCTATCGTACTACTAAAACTTCAGTCTAGCAAAAGAGGGTTCATTTTCAATTCCATTGCCCACAAGACATTTGCATATCCAAGAATGATTAAGCATTGTTTGGTATATTTGCATGTCATTTAACATAAACCCTAATGAACCAACAGCTTATGAAAATTCTGCAAGAAAATAAATTGATTATTTACAGTATATGTTAGGAATAAGTTGGTAACTATAAAGATCTTGTACACGGGTTGCATCCCCTTGGCATTATTTTATTCTTTACTTTTTTCTTGCAAAATAAGGAATACGTTGGTAGCTCAGTAAATTGTCGAAGATTTCTGCATGATGATTAACATAAACTACTAGAGCAGACAAAAAACTGGATTCCATTGAAGGAATGTGGATCATGGAGTAACAAGAGGTAATCACCTTAGTTATGTTAAAACAAAAAAAAGAAAAGGCATAAAAAAAAACGACAAGAATGGGCAAGGTTTATGGTTTTCAGAAACAATGAGACTAGGATGGAAATGCAAATTGCTCCATTAACTGAGGCAGCAATCTGGTAAACTTTTCAACAATTGCTCAACAACTATACAACCAAGAAAATAAAAGAAGTTAAAAGCAAAAAATTGTTCAAAATCATATAAAACAAAGGCAAGCAGAAAGAGAAGCAGATAGCAAAAGAGCAGGTAAAGAAACTACATGGATCTAATGGCACCAAAACCTTTACAATCATGAATTGCAAAATAATTAATTCATTTCCTGAAAACAACTCAGAAGTCCCGAATCAACAATATAAGGTAAAAATCCAAATCAATAATATAAGATAGTACACATCATTATTTAAAAGTTTAATTAATGACCATAAATCACGGCATGAACACACTTTTCTATCTATGGCCAGAAGTTATGATCCCGATTACTGCATGAAAAGGTCAGATTTTAGTGATAAAGCTGAAAATATGAAACCTTAACTATGGGAGCTGGTAATAGCGAACAATTACTAGTATGAGAAGTGAGAAAACAATAATTTTTATTATAAACAATCTCTCCAAAATTGTCTAAAGTAGTATGTCACAATAATGCAAAAATACAAATGCACACACAAAAAGTACGATCTTAAATTTGCATACACGTAGGCTCATCGGTCCAGTATAATTGCCATTTGATATTCATTTTCCAGAAAGCATTTGATCAATTTGGCCATTTTTGTTGTACATATCAACAATTTTCTTTGCATATGAAGGCATGTGGATGTCAGCTCTGCAAAGATGGAGGTTTCAATATCAGAAGCAATCCCCTTCGTTCCCAGTGAAGAATTATTCATTATGTCATACCTTTGTTTTCCCCAATTGCGGTTTATATGCAAATAGTTCCTGATGGTGTGATAATCTAATGAATAACGGGCAAATTCCAGACCTTTTGGGCCAATCTGATCCAAGAAACAAAGTAGAATTTATCTGTATATATAGTTTTCTTCAACGGAATGCTCCTAAAGGATCAACTTACCAAGTTCAGTAGAAAAGCTATCAAATTTCCAACAAACTTTGGTGCTGGCTTAGAGGGACCCCTCCCTAGGAATAAAAGAAGAGAGAAAAAATGAGGTCCATGGAAAATATAAAATCATTAGGAGGCAAAAAATTCATGAATCAGTTGAAAATTATAACTGACTACAATTTTAGAATATAAAATTAGTTGGGAACTTCTGAATATTGTTATTCAACCAGACAGATAACCATATCCTTTCACACAAATGTCTATGGCTATTAACATGTCTTAAAAGATGTTGTGAAGTCATTTAGACAGAATAGTTTCCTAGAGAGAAGCACCTTGCAATTAATCCTGGAGAAAATACATCATGAATTTGGAACTTAAAGCACTTCGTACTGGTCCTATGCAATTAACATGCATCACATGCCAGTCTCTGGCTGAAGGAGAAGATATTTTTGGTAACTACAAAGAATGTCACATACCCAACTTAGCATTATCATCTGCCTTCACAGTTTCCATAACAAATGGTCGCCGATCACCCTAAAAAGATAAAGGCCTCAGTGTTCCAGTTTCACGAAAATTTAAAGCAATCCAAACAGGATAAAGGCTCAGTGTTTACACTACTGATTGTTGGAGTAATCTCTAATAGATTTTTTACGAGACTGAGCATTTCTCTTCCACGTTCATTTCTGCAATTTAAAATTTTCAAAAATAAAATTTAGCTCCTTGTTACTATTGACAACCCAAGCATCACCATGATTAAACTAGGTGGCGCTGATGCCAGGTTAAAACAAGCACTGAGACATAAAAGAAAAATAAGCTCCAGCAGCACAGCAGTGTTGTTACCTGACTGTCACATACTGTGGATGTTGTGTCATGCTGCATCCATGATATTTTGGCACACCCATGTACCCAACCACCAGATCCTAGATTGCCAAACATGTGAAAGAGTATTAAACCAAGTTGAAATACTGCACCCAAATAATCAGGGAGAGACCAAGGGCTTAGCCTGTTGGTCATATCCTGTACCCCAGGGCTCCCCATTTAAAGAGTCAAGCTCAACTGAAAAGACTTGTATCTTGCCATTACTTAAATAAAAATAACATAATCAAGAACTTGAAGACATCTTTTGTTTAATTTCAATTGGATAGCCGAGTTGATATGTTATCATAATGTTTAGGGTCCCACTTAGAATCTTGTTATGGGATTTTGATTAATGGTATGAGCTTGTTAATTGAGAATCAAAGATCTCCTAGAGTCTGTGTTGAGTTTGGTTAATCCAGTTTCAAGGCATAGAAATGGGAAGACAACTGAAATATAATACGATTAGTTTGAACCAAATGCAAGTAATCAAGAAACCTACTTATACTTCTTTGTATAAAGTTTATTCAGATTGCTATTCTAGTTCCACACAAGAATACTACTCCTATGCAATAGTAGCTTCTTTAGTTGGAAGTAAAACTCCTACATTAGAAGAAACTATCTTCACACATATCCAGATATCTAATTGTATCATTAAATAAAAAGTATATTACAATTTAATACTATGTAGTTCTGGTCAGATTAAGTACATGTAGTTCATTTTTTACTATTTTTACTGTTAGCAAGGCAACATAACAATGTTAGTTTGAATATCTGGATGGTTCAAATTTAAACTTTTAAAATTAACAAAACTAAAATATAAAAAGATTTAAAAATTAAGCTAAAATAAAACTAATAATAAAATCTAAAATTAAAAAAAAAAAATCAGATTGAAAAAGTTTGGGCAAAATTTATGTGTATTAAAACTAACATCATTAGTTTGAATATGCGGTCGATTTGAATTATAAAAACCTTGACATGCGAACAGTTCTTATCAGACTTTTACAATTGAAAAAGAATTAAAAAGATTTAAAAATGATAATAATAACAAAACTTTAAATACAAAAATATTTTTTAAAGAATATCACATGGGAGAAGTTCTAGAAAAGTTTGTCCATATTAAAACTAATATAACTTTTAGAAATTTTTTGTTAATTTTTAAAATCTAATCTGAGCCGTACAAGTGTTAACTTTTTAACTTCATATTATCAATGTGTTCAAACTAAAAGTAATATCTTGACTGACTACGGTCAAACCAAGAGTACTGAAACTGTTAAAAATAAACAACATATATTGAATCTAAAATACCCTAAACCACATAGTATCAAATTGTATTTTGCCCTTAGATAGAACTACATAACTAAATAAAACAAGAGCAACAGAGAACTACATAATTAAATAAATAAAAATAACAATTCTGTTCCAGCAACCACGTGTCATTCAGTTGTTGGCTTGTAACACAACCATAAGTTTTATTTTATTTTGAAGAATTCATATTATATTCTATACATTTTATTGTTACCTGATAACAAAGATATTATTAAGTAAAAGATTAGGACAGATGTCTTAAAATCAAGAAGAAGATGAACTTGCTTATTAGATGAAAACTTACCGCCAATCCATTTGTATAGTCAAAACAGCTGTTCAGAAAAATATTAAAGTCAGAAAAAGATTATCAACAGAAGGGCAACATGATAAATAATCATGAGTAGTTGCACTTATTTTACCTCTCATGTAGTTGTTTCCCCTGTTCCTTTTCTATAAACTATGAGAAAAGCTCAACTTGTACATCTAAGACCAGAAGGGAGTATTCTAATATGGTTTGCTTATACTAACATAAAAAAGCCTCACATTACCACTGCTATCCTTTCTCTAAAGATGGCAATTGGTATCTTATTGGTTAGCACGTCTAATGCTTCCTGAAAGCCTTTAAGAGGTAAAATTAATTCAATTGCATCCCAAAGTTTCACAAGTTTTTGTCTGTCCATTAACCTTCTCTGCAACTGCCAAAAAAGAAAAAGCCATTCTGGTTCCATTCCCTAACAAAATCACTCTTCTCCTACAACTTTGAATGACTCGTACAGTTCAACTCCATAATAAATAAAATAAGCCTGCTAATGCTCCCTCAGTTCAAATGAAAAGAAATTATTCCAGTTCTATCTAAACTTTATTTACACTTGAAGCTTTCTTGCACCAATGACAATTGTAGCTAGCTCCCTCTAAACCCCCCTTTTCAACCATTCTTACAATTTTAACATCTTTCACAAGAGGATACTAATTGTCATCTATGAAGATATTGACAAGATAAAATTGTTCACTGAGACTAAAATGTTATGAGCTGGTCAAATATCTATCAGATGTTTACACTAACACCTGCAATATCTTCGAGATGAACCTCACAGAGGGGAAAAATATATGATGATTATTATTTGCACAACTTTATCACTATAAATCTACTATCCTCCAGGTTCCATTAGTTAGAAAATTTATTGAAATCTATTAATTGTTTGAAAAAAGAAAAACGAACTGTACAGAAATAAAGATGGGGACAATACCTATAGCAGGAAGGAGCAATAACATCGACTAACTCATTCGCTGGTAGACAGAAATAAGGAACCTGTTTTAGTTAAGATTTGGAAATGGATGAAGCTGTATGATCCCAAGACATAGACCAGACTGTAAGCACAGCAACTGCTTTACCTCTTCAATATGACCATCCAAGTGCTTCAAGTGGACCTTTATAATTAAGGAAACAAGAACCTTATAAGATAATGTTCAAAGAGATTCCATTCTTCTTCGTAGAAAGATATATACTTTAGAAAATATATAAAGTAATACTCATTTAAGAGATGAGTTCTTCTAACACAGTAATTTTGACAATATGTTCAACTCCATAACCACAATGCCCAACAGACGGAAAAGGTTATCACCACAAACCTTGTAGTCTTGCATAAACTCATAATGAAGAACACTTTCTGGCTCGCTACTTGCAGCCTTAAGAAACTTATCCAGTCCTTCCCGTGTTCCATTATCCACTATCAACGAAGTGTGTTAGTAAAGAAGCACGCATAATCCATAGAAAGATCGGAAATAGAAAAGGCACCCAAACTGAGTCAAATTGGAATCACTGGGCTAGTTACACAGGTTCACTTACAAGGCCTTCTGGCAAAAAAATGATAAAATATGGTGAAAACTTAAAATCCAAAAGAACCGTATTGCCACTCAAATCTTAAGATACAAAGCGAAGCTAAAGGCATTAGGTTTTAACTAGTTCTTGTTTGCAATCTTCTTCAAATTTGCAGACAATCTCTTACTCTGGTAAATAGTAGTATAATGCTTCATCCAAAAGAATAGCGGTAACATGAAAAAACAATTTCACATAACATTGTATATTGATGCAATTAGGTAAAGTAATGATAATACAATCAGAAATATACCATTTGCCCACTTTCGTATGCACATGGGCACAAATGCACGTGCATGTGTGTGCCAATAGGACATGATATTAAATATTTCCATCACCAAGATTTGTGGAGGTTTAATGGATGAGAATACCATCCTCTGTTGTTTTTCATCCAATTGACTAAAAGGAGAAAAGTTGATAAATAAATAAACAAATAGAGTTAAGGATCTTTGGTTCCAAACTCTTTGTTTTTTGTCACATACGACATGTTTATCTCAGTTGAACAGTTAGAGGACTGATTTGCCATCTTGACTAATCTGTAAATTATGCCTCGTGTCATAGCTTTTGTTTTTGAGGGCACGCCCTCGGCGCCCTTCATGGAAACTCCTCTTTTCTTTTTGATAAAATAAACAAATTTCATATAAAACATTAAATTACCACAATTGGTGCCTAATACATAAAGCTTCTCCAGATTCAGATACTGCTCCACAGATCTTAATGCTGCAGTTTAAGAAATCACTCTGCATTACAATAGTACAAGTCACAACAAAGAAAATAACCGTGAATGAACTGCAGAAGCATGATATACATCTTACCTTGCACTTGGCAACCCACACCACAGAAAAGAAGACGTTTCACACCAGCTGCCTATTACATTGAGATATGACTATCATTGAAGCTTTCAAGCAAGGTAAAATTGTCATAACCTTCATCTATAACTAAAAGTTTGTGATTAAATTTTTTTTTTTTTTGAAATAAAAAAAGTAAGAAAATTATTATTCACAAGGTGCCAAAGAGGGCACGACTTGTATTTAAAATATTTACAACAATTTTTATTAAATTTTTTTTAATTGAATTTTTATTCATGATACTAAATTTACAATATTTGCATATATACAGGAAAAGATTATAAAGAGTTTTAGCAGGAATCTAAACACAAATCAATCTCATAAAAGGAAAAAATCTAGTTATGGAAGTCCAATAAAATTATGCTTCGTAAGGAGATTTCCCTAAATATCCAATTTGTAGGAATTGGACTTTCTACAAGAAGTTGGATTCCTACGCTTCCCCTCAAACTGGGTTAAAGATGAAAGTCGACTATGATTTTGCTTTATAGAGATATTTTTCTAAAAATACCAATCTGTATAGAAATTGGACTTGTTTAAAAAGTCGAATTCCCAAAAGAAAAATTCAGTTTTAGACCTTATACAATGCAAATTCAGGTTAAACTAGGTGGTGCCAAATAAAGTTTTTAGTGTTGCACCAATGAAAAACTAAGCATATATAGTTTACTTGAAGCAGCAAAATACCTCTACTAGTGCAAGGGTATTTAGATTAGGAGACAATGTTGGCTTGACCCCTTTAGCAGCTAAAACTTCATCAGGTGTCCTGTTAGCATTGAGTAAAAATAGTGTTCTACAGGGTGACAGCAAAATAATCATATGCAAATGAAGAAAGGTAGAAACAGACCTTGCTAATACAGGTCTTGGTTTGAATCTATCTTCTGGATCACTGTTAAAATTAATAAGATCATGAAGGTTCAGTTGATAATGCCACTTGAAGTCACACTATCTCAAATTCACCATCCTCTAACCAAAAATGTATCCTCCTACCTCTGAACACAGACTACAGCCTCAACCATGCCAGCTTTCAGCATCTCAATTGCAATGGTTGTAACTATTCCAGTCCACTGAGCTCCTACAATAAAAGAGGTTTGACAATAGAGAATTTATACTGAATAAGAGTTGTCCTCAAATTTTCCAAAAGTAGATAAAAATCATAGAAGGACTCCAGAGTTCTTTTCCATTTTCTTCCTAGTTTTTGGGAAGGAAAGTAAAGCAGCCCGTCTATCTGTTCGAAGATGAACAACAAGTCGATGTGAAACCACTACAAGGTTCTCAGCTTCTAAGAAGTACTTGGGAAACTACTAAACTGTTAAGTTTCTACAAAGGCTTATTAACTTGCAATTACAGGAAGACAATATAACAAGCTTCTAAGTTAATTTTCTAGGCAAGAAAAATTTCCTGTGCAGATCTTTCAAAATACTTCCCAAGTCACAAAACCCATTCATTCAATTGGATAGCCAGAAGAAAATGCAGCTCAAGAAGGTTTTGCTGACGTATATCAAGATCAAGATGCAATATCAATAGCAAATTATCGACGTAGCTGTTTCAACTGAAGAGTAGAGTGATATATTACATAACTACTAATACTATTTCATCTAAAAAGCTGAGTTTCAAAGAATAGTTTCAGTCATTAAAAAAAGAGTTCACAAGAATGTAATAAAAACATAATCAGTAAATTTCAGAACCACAAATCCCACCTTCAACGGGGTTAATTTTACGTGCATATAACAGCCCTTCATGGACACCTAAATAAATCTCATCCAAGGAATCTGCTTTCCTCCCTCGACCATGGACTACAGGTTCCAAGTTCTGAATAAGAAATTCATAAACTTCTTTAAGCACAGGGAATATAAATGCATCAGAAAGACAAACAACCTGCAATGTAGCTTGAATTGGGAAGAAGCCCATGTTGCCTTTTTTACTTAAGACATGAAGCAATAAGGAAGCATTTAAAGGCCGAAACAACAATCCACCATACAGCACACAATTTCGACTCTCTCCTCACCAAGCCTATACATAGGCATATCATAGTTTGAGATAGTAGATTTTTGGGTGGCAGAAAAAAAAAACCACAATTCGATTGCTTCTTGTACCCTCAAGCCTATAAATACCCCATGAATGCCTGGCAATGCGTGAGTATGAACAGTGTTTATCCATTTGGACAAGTTTCTGGCATGAGATTTTGGTTTAGTTGGGATTTTGGATACATTGAGAGTTCTCTACCTAGGTAATTATTTTTTCCATTGAAGTAAAAATGTCCACTTCTTAGCCCGTGATCATAGGCTATTAAAGTGAAACCCGTAGGTTTTGGTGTCTACTTTTTACTCCTCTATTTCCTTTATACTACTAAATTTTCTTCCTCTCAGTAACATATAGGCATGTTAGCCCCCTTCCAATTCTGAGACAACCTGTAACTTGCAAAAGGTAAATATCAAGATAGTCATAAATAGAGAAACATGCAAAATAATTTGGTTTTCATTGAAGATCATACTTCTCATCAAAATAATAGTGTTACAATTCAGTCTATTAAGACCATGAGCCAGTCTGCCATTAAAGAATAATGATTATTAGTAAATGGCATTTTAGTACTTGTGGAAAAATAACATTAGTAGCAAATCCAGAAGTTCAAAACAAAAATCAACAACAAATGATTTATAAGTCAAGAAAGACAAGAGAAAACCAGTAACTTACTTCAACCTTGGACATGCCATCTCCCAAGAAAGCACAAGCGTTCTTCACATGAGCAATGTAGTATGTGTCACACAACCCACACCGGCTGCCCCCAAGTCCCCACCCCCCAAACCATTGAGCAAAAACATCAAAACTCAACTTAGAAAACCCCCAAAAAATTAGAATAACAGAACAAGAAAGTAACAATAATAATTAAGCATAAGCAATAAAAATGAAAAAAAAAAAAAAAGGGTCTTTAAGGAAGACAGAAACCTGCCTGCAATGGTCTTTGGCTGGATAAGTGCCTCCAGGTGGAATGGGCCTTGAACGCTTTCTCCAGTCGTCTCGCAGCTTCACTGTCTTTGGGCTTGAGTTTACATCTGCTCCATTGTCAACAATATTTCAAGATTATAAACTTCCATGCGCATTTATATAACCCTGAAAACATGAGCAAGAGATGAAAGAGGTTATTGGGCACCTTTAGAAGGAGGTGAAGAAGTCGAATAAACAATAGGGAATTGAGGAGGAATGGAAGAGAGGTTGCAGACGAAGGAAGACATGGCAGGAGAGAGAGAAAGAAGCTGAGTGGCTCCTATGAAATATCCATCACATATTATTTATTCCTTTGTTGATCCACAGGATAACAGCAAGCTTTTATTACTGGTTTAGTTATTATTTTGGGAAGCTCTGCTGGTGGTTTGTATTCCAATTTTCATTTCTTATTTTATCTTTTGTTAATTGCATTGTATTTTATAGTTTTAAAGTGAGAAAATTGGGTTTTTGATTTGGACTGGTTGAAATAATTGAAGTAAGGTGTAAGAATTAATTTGGATTTGAATAAAAATATATACTGTAAAGTCAAATTTTTTATATTTTAATAAAAAGATAAATACCCAAATGTGTAAAAAAGATATACGTCGCTATTGACGAGAAATGCTTTCTTTGTTCCTAAAAATTACTTCTTGGAATTTGATAAATGTAATCTTTATTATATTATCCAACAAAGAATATTTAACACTCATTTGCCACAATTTATGAAAAGAAATACAATTATGTATCTTTTTTCAGCATATGCAATACAATTTTGTTAATTATAAGTGGATATAACAATATTTATATATTTAGTTATTTTTTAAATATTTACACTAATTATGTATTTCTTAAGTTACTTTATTGAGGTGTCATTTCTATGTGTTGGTTATATTAAGTTATATTTCAAATTAGAAGGTCAACTTATATCGTTTCATTTACAGCATTTCGATAACTCTCAAGAGTTATTTACAGGGTTTAAAAGGCACCTCTTGACTTGTTTTAGATTAATTTTTTTGTACACCCACAATATTGAAAGGAAGAGAGGGATTTTTTAGAGAAGGTGAAAATATAGCATCTTGGAAATATATTTGCGTCCTAAACCCGAACCCGAACCCGCTATCAATAAATTTATGTTAATACTGTGTATTAATTGAAGTTTAGTCTAAGAAAATACATATTACATTACCCAAAACATTTGGATTGTCCAAGGCATAAAAATGATATGATAATTTCCTGCTTAAATTTCAGTTAAGAGTCAAGAGAAGTAAAAACAAAAATGGGCAAACAGATGAAATATTGAAGTAACTTGTTTGGTTCATAGCGTTTAAGTCCTCAAGCTGTTCAGAATACAGAGTACGTGGACAAGAACAGAGAAGCAATACACGAGTTATGCATACTACACTCCATTAGGTTTCTATGCTGCCATGACAATCTCCATTTTCTTTTAAAATATCCACCAAATGTCATCAAAATTTCATATTCAAACATGAACAAACACAAACAATATGGGACGTTTATTTTGCTTCATTCCAAACAAATGATATTCATTTCCGCAATCAATGGGACTGCCTCCCAGACCGGCCTCATTTTCTTACATCCAAAAAGAATTGAGATTGGACTATAATTGATTCTGTACAGATTACTTCCTCCTATCACCAAAACAAAGGGAAGGTGAGTGAGAACAAAACCAGAGTTGCATGTAGAACTCATTGGATAAGCTAAGTTGCTGAGACCCTCATTTGCATTTGATTTCAGAGAAGCTTGCTTGTTCTTCGTCTTGATGGCCCTCCTGGAAAGAGCTTCATAATCCACCCCAACACTCTTTCCACCACCTGATCAGAAAAAAAAAGTTGAGAAGAATATATTTTGTTATCTACCTTAGTGAGCAGATATAAGTTTGTATCATGCTCAAAATCCACTTTAACTACTATCTGAACAATTATGTGTGTCCAGCAAAGTTGTGCACCAATTCTCACCAAGTCCTTTAAGGGTATCTTTGAAAAAAATTAGTCATTCTTGTGAAACTCATTTTAAATGTGTGTACTCTTTCAGATACAGTTATAAATATACACTTGGGTCAAGAAAGGATAAAAATTCAACTCTAAAAAGCGGAAATTTACTCCAAATAAATTCCAAGTAGAATTAAAACAATACATTTCAAATTCCAGAACATGTGTAATTTACCAGAATATTGTTAAATTGCACTCAAGAGTCATTTATTACCAAATTTCCAGTCTTTTATGGTTGAACTAAATGAATTTCATAAATAATTTGTTTATTCCAAACCAAAGAATGTCATTTGCCAATATGCCATGGAGTAGCTCTTCCCTTCAGATTCTCCCCAATACACACTCAAGCCTAAAATCCTAAGGAAATGTTCTGCATCTCTATCACTAATATATTGTTTATGAGAAAAGTTCAGATTTAAGATTTTCAAACCACTGCTTGTGAAAGGTCATCTGCTGAATTAACTTCTGTTCAAAAGGGGTAACATCATCCAGAACCACATGGGTCCAGACAAGTCTAAATAATGATAACTTGATGGTGGCACAATCATGTTCCTCAGATTGCGTGAGCACATATGTGATTGTGTGTGTACTTGATTGTGTGTGTATGTGCATTTGTGTATCTGAGAGAGAGAAAGAGATAGAACCTCATCACCCTCATCTGCATATGCAGTATTCTCCTGTATGGTGTGAGAATCAGGTTGTCTTGCTGAAATATTGTCATTTGCCATATTTTGAGCTGTTAGAAGCTCTAATCTCTGAGTTTGAGCTTCAAGTTTTCTAGATAACTCCTTGTTAAACTCCTTCATTCATGCAACAAAACCAGAAAAGAATGCAACATGTAAGATGAAACATTAAGGATGCGGATAGAGCATACAATAAATGTAATTATGTATAATAAAAAATTACAACAAATATAATCTTGTAAGTGCTCCAAAACAATGACTTTTTGAAGTCCCATCCTTCTGGTCAAACTGTACATAAATAGAAAACTCGGATGATGATCGTACAGCATGTTTTCTTATGCCTAAAGAGACATACAGCTGCAAAACAAGAAATGCAAATATATCTGCAATACATAAACTGGTCTTTATAACAAGCTCAGAGATCACCCTTTCTTTTTCCGTTTCTGGATAACTTGCTGGCTAACTAACCCTATCCAACCATTTAAAAAATTTTCATGCTGATGGCCAATAGCATGTCAAAACAGGATGCATGCACATGTGGCACATTTCATATTCTTAAAGTTATAAATGCATAGGCACTAACAAGAAAAAATCATCCTTTGCAAAAGTTTACCCTTCTAATCAGTATCAAAAAGTTACCCACCTGTCTTGGCGCCTTTCAAAAATAAACTACTAACATAATTGCTTCTTTAGTTCAACATGTCCTCTCAGTGCGATATTATCAAATAACTTACGTTAGACAACTATAAGCCAAACACTAAAGAAATTTGAGTAGGTTTCTCTTTTGTGGTAGACACTCCATATAAGTCTACTCCAAGTTAATTACCTTGAGCTTTGAACTTTGACTTATCTCTGATGACAAAGCTTGTGTCATTTCTTCTTTCTCCAACATCAACTGCAGCAAGAAAAAGCTCCTTACATGACTTTTAAGAGATAAATTAATAGTAATGAATGATAAAACATATTAGGCTACTAAATCTGAAATTTTCTTTTGAGTAGTACTAGATCTGAAAATTAGATTCAGAGAAGTGAAGAAAATAGAGTTCACAGAATAATGGGTCAGATGCTACCTCAGAAATTAGAGCATTAATATTTTGAATCATTCTCATTTGATCAGAAGGAATATTCACGGACAAAACTTCAAGAGCTGATCCATTTTCCGCCAGCAAGGGAGATATGGATGCATTATTTTCAAGAAGAGAAGAACTGCCATCCGCTTCCTGGTTAGAGCTGTCTGAGGTACTGTATACATCTGCTGCATTAAGGTGGATTTATTTACCATCCAAAAGAGAAACCAAAAATCCATTAAGTTAAAACTGAATCATGAAAAAGAATCCATCCATAATGTTGTTATCACTATAACATAATTTGTAAGACAGCTTCTCACCATAAACTCTAGTGGAGTCAGGAATATATACTCAGAACTATCACTTCTCAGAAAAGCCAATTAACATAAACTCCAATAGAGGTAAGAGGTTCACCCATAGGCTAAATCTATTTTTGGAAAAATTATGTGAGGGTCCTTGATCTTTGGGAATAATTATAACTGGATCCATTATTTCTAAAAACAACAACTTAGTCTTCTAATTATTTTACTGTTGCAAAAGTTCTGGAAAAAAAACTATAATATGTTCATATACATGTTCTATGTTCTTACATTCTTACAGTTGTTTTAGAACTACCATATTAGCTAAAAGATCATTTTGTTTTCTAAAGTGGTGTGGTTTGTTATGTTGTTTTATTTTTCTTATTTAAGAATGTTAAACTATTACTTAACATCATTTAAGAAACGAATTTAATGAACAGATTTATTCTATATACAAGAACTAAATTGTTGTTTTCAGAAACACTTGACCTAGTTGTAATTATGCCCAAACTTTATCCAATTTTTAACTCAATTTCACACCCTGAAGAACAAGCTCCCCTCTTAAGAATTGAGCGATATCAAAACACTCACATATTTGGCAATCTTAATTTGTCTCCATCAAACTAGCTGGTGTGGAAGTAAGTAAATTACCCAAATAGTTACCAAACAAGAATAATAAATAACACAAGAATATACTTAGTTCAGTATTGCACTTGAGAGATGGATCTTGATTTTGTTATAGAAGAATTTTGAAAATTATAGTCGTGGTCCCTCTCTCAAACCCTATCCTCAAAAGCACCCAAATCTCACCAAGTACTAAATATCATGGTTTTGAGAGAAAACAATGTATATATAGAGACTTCAAGATTTATTTTTCTGAGATAGGACTTCAAGAAAAAAATCATAAATAACTTGTAGCATACACTAAGATACTAAAATAAAAGAACGCATCTGAAAGCTAACATATTGAGATAGACACAACTACATTCTTCAGAATTTCTTAGAGACCAAACACAAGGAAGTGGTAGTTTGGTACTTCAATGAGAAAGACTATAATCCTTTACATAAAATGGAATAACTTCAATAACCTCAAGATGTTAAAACACCCTTTTTCCTATTGATAAATATATATATATATATATATATATATTACTAGAAAGGAACAGAGACACAACATTAGAGAACAAGATATCCTCCTAAAAATAAGAAAGGAAAAACAACATAAAAAGGATGAAGGCATAGGCAACAAAATAACTCAACATATAGCCTGGCAAGTTCTATATAAAGTACATAAAAAAGATATGCTCATAGAGGCCATAACTCAGGCTAAAGAGATGCCAAAAAAGTCAATCTATCCCAATGAAACAATTAGGGAGAGAAACTAATGCACAACAAAAAGATATTATTTCAGAACAACTTTTCAATTAAAAAAGTCTTGTTGCAGTAATAATCACTATCTTTTGTTTTTAAGTTATTTATGTTAGTTAGGTATCATTATACTACAGTTTCCTATCAACATAGATCTTAAACATTATTGGTATTAGAATTATTTACATTTTCTCTTTTATAATTTTCTTTATTAATTGTAATAATATCTATATAAAGTAGCTACCATGAAAGGGGAGAATAGATGACAATAGTTGTTGAAAATTTCTTCGTAAGATTCGTTTTTCTCATTATTGTTCTGTCTAACATATCTCTTTCAATTAATTTCTCCATATCTCTCTTTACCTTGATCTCTAATTTCCTTTTTCCTATCTTCATTTCTTTGTTTCTACCTAAATTTCCTCTCTTTCTAAATTATCAATTGGGCAAGTTAGTATAACATTAGTCGTCGTCCTGCATCAATTGATACTAAAGCGAAACTTCTACCCCTACTTTCTCCCACTTTGGCACTGCGTAGGGCGCAAAAACAGATTCTCCTATCACATCTAGCCCAAAAAACAATTCCTTGAAAAAAAAATTCAAGGAAAAAGATCCAAACAGCTAGAACAGTCGCGCAACCTTTATATTCACTACCATCGATTGAGGGTGATCAACACCACCACCACCACCCTACTCAAACAACAGTGACAAACCTATATATTATGGAGCACCACCAAGCAGAACCACCAAACACCATGTCAGTCACCTTATCCTCCCAAACCTTCACCATGCTGGATCTTCTTATTTCTAACCCCCACGAGTAACACTGACCACCAATCTAGAATCTACATGACCAGAAAAAGCTATAATCAGAAGCTCGACCACCACCAATTACCGAAAAGGGTGATCACGTCTCCCTGACCAGTCAGAAAGGTTCCCCTAAGATTTTCCAGTGTGTTCTACCTATTTTTGAGTTTACTTTGATCATATGTGCATCTGATAATAACAAATCAAAGTGACAGGTAGCAACTTGGCATGAAATCAGATAAACTTTTGGTACAGTTCAAATTTAATCTACTTGATTACTCATGATGTGTTGAACAAAGTTTTCGGTCCTTATGGATGGATAGAAAATATCTATGTATTTCCACATAATCAAGCTTGTATCTGATGTTATAAATCTTTTGAAGAAATTGTGCATATATGACAATTGTTGTTGGATGAATATCGAAAATGTGTTCAACCTATATTTGTGGACTAAAGAATTATGGGACACCCACAAGAATTTAAAAATGAGGTGAAATCTTCATCTAAGGCTTCGCCTTCACATGATTGTCACATACATGATTATTGTTGTTGGATGAGTACTTAGTATGTATTTGACCAATGTGTCGGGACTAAAGAGTTATGGAACACTCTACAAGAACATAAAAATGTGATAAAATCTTCATCTAAGGCTTCTTCTAAACTAGAAGAGTCAGTTTGAAGTTCCTTATGACCACCAATGGCAGCTCAAGTGATATTGGCACTTGTTGAAGTTGTTTTTGTTCAGATGTTGGATGAGTACTTAGTATGTATTCGACCCATGTGTCGGGACTAAAGAATTATGGAACACTCTACATCTTCAACTAAGGCTTCTCCTAAACTAGAAGAGTCAGTTTGAAGTTCCTTATGACCACCAATGGCAGCTCAAGATATTGGCACTTGTTGAAGTCGTTTTTGTTCAGATGTTGAGAAACTTTCTTCCTTCAAGAACCATTTTCTACCTCCTATTGCTATTGAAGTGGTTTCCATTCATGATAGTTGCATTGGGTAGTGTTTTGTATTATTTGTTATTGTTTGTAGTGATTTTGTTTATAGTTTCCAGACCACATGATGCATCATAAAACAACCCTCAGCTTGTTTGAAAAAGGAAGGGCACATGCACTTAAAGATTAATTTGTGATGGTTTTTTGTTTCTACTGACAAGGGCACACTGTGTGCCACGTGGGCATGACAGTAGCAGTGTTAATTTTGGAGAACTAAACCAAACTAATTTTGAAACTTTTAAGGGTATATCTCAACCAAAAATAGTACAAGGGTCAATATGAAAAATTTTGAATAGTATAAAGGCTTTTCAAGTACTTATCCCACTTTTTATTAGTTGTACTTAGTGTCTATATAAAGATTAATAGCTACCAAGAAAAAAGGGAAAAAAGACCATGATGAATGTAGAATTTCGTCTTTAGGGTTAAGTCCCTGTTATCCCTCTCTGTTTCATTCTTCTAATTGTTCTGGCTACAACTTATCTTGTTCATTTTCTTTTTCATTATATTTCTTCACTTCAATGTCTAATTGTTTCTAGCCTGTATCTATTCTTTTGTTTCTCATCTAAATTTTTTCTATTTATAAATTATCCCTGAAATAAATTAGTTTAACCGCTGCTTATCTTGCATTAGAAATAATCCTTAAATATCCTCATCTTCCTATTGACTAACTAAAGGGAGGTAACTGTAGGGTTTTTTACAACATGAGGTGGGTAAGCAATTGTAGGGTTTCTTACAAGGTGAGGTGGATAAGTAATTGTAGTTCTTAAATGGAGGAAGTGTAGTTTTGTATCAACCTTGAGGGTGGTAATTGTACTTACCCTTATATAATTTAATCAACAGTCATAATTTTTTACCTCAAACATAAAACATAAAAATGTCTGGACTTCATTTCAAAATATTAATTAATGGTTAAAATTGAGAAAATACTGATTTGACCATACAAGAAAAACTGTTCACACTGAAGCAAAAATTGAAGCTTATCAAGTGGCCAAAATGCAAGGACTCCATTACCTAGATCTTCTGTTGAAGTTGAGATGTCTTTCCTGCTAGTCGGACTCTGATTTACATCAACAGATTTATTGTTGGTAGAAGCTTTTCGTAGCTTAGACTGCAAGACCTTCTTCTCTGCATAATAGAAACAAAAAGAGCATGGCCAGAAACCATATTATTCACAATATTCAATTTAGACGAAACCAATAAAATTGCTATATTGATAATTTAAACCCTCACCTTCTTGAAGAGCATTAATAGTTGACTGCAAATCCTGACGATCTTTCTCTAGACTTGACATTTTCTTTCTGCAAGATTTAATAAGAATCAGACATCCTATGAAATTATGCAAGAATCCAATTCGAAAATCTCTAACATTGCAGTTGCTTCAAGACTATATTACTCTCATTCAATTTCTAGATCTTAATTATTCAATATATAGAATTTAGTCATTGTTTCATGTTTGGACAAATTCCACTCGTATTCTTAATCCCCAAAGATCAAATTGCATTTTCACGTGTCAATGAATGAAGTACAAGAACTTCTAATCTGAAGTTGAAATGAGACTGTTAGAGAAATGGTGAATTAAGTTAAAAGGTACAAGAGTAAATTAATTTTTTTAAATTAATAAGAGTAAATTACATTCTAGGTTATTTTCTTTTTTGTCCTACAAAACTTGTACATATATGGCAGTAATATTCAGTAGAATACACATCAAACATTTTTAACATAGTATCAGAGCTTTCGGTAAAAGAAACTTTAATCTTAATTCCAAACCCAATTTGATTTTCATTGCCAAATAGAAAAGAAGAAAACCCTGAAAGGGTTAGGTTATAATAGTTTTGGTGCAAACACCAAACCCATAATGAGGATTTGCTAGCAAAAGTAAGTTGATATTTTGAGACTTTTTTTGAGAGTGGAAGAAGTAAATGATTGAAAATAGCAAGTTCGTCCTTTGTGCTTCAAGCTCAAAGAATATACCATAACAAAGTTTCAAAAGTCACAAATAGAAAGAAGAATATTATTTAACACATCAAATTGATATCTTTATATTTATGAAACAGAAATATACGTCCTTATATTTAGAAAAGAACAGTACTAAAAATTTTTTATACTGCTACCGGAGACAATATTATTTCTCATATAATTGAAAGAGTCACAGCACAATGGATCATATATTAATAATTATACCCGACAAAAACAAGACCATCATAAAATAACGGCATTGGAGGCCATCGAATTTTCAAATACATTATAACATTCAAATTTTTCATGATGAACTGTAGTCGGTACACATTCTGAAATCACTGTATCTATTTCCATCCTTCTTGATTTCTGATTGATGTCACTATGTCACTTTGATGAAATTCCTTGTTTTTTGCCAACAACAAAATTATTCCTGGCATTTGGCTCCATATAACCCCCAAATTATGCAAGTTATAGCTCATATCAACACAGCTTGTGCAGAAATCAAAATATATTAATGTAGACATGTTATTTATCTTAAAGCATACTTGCAAGAAGAGATTTCAGCATGTGAGTTCTCCAGCTGCCTCTCCAGCTTCAGTTCATTAGACCTGAGTCTGAGTGCCTAAAAATGGTCATCTATAATAAGTATTGCAGATTAAGTGGGGGAAAAAAGAAACCAGAACAATATCCAAGATTATGCAACTCCACCATAGGTTGGATAAAAATTACATAAATACGATGAACAAACCTAAAGAAGAAAATATCTTGAGGATCAATGTTGAATAACTAAAACAAAACAAAGAATCTTCTCTAGTTTGTTCAAAGATGATCCAAGTCAAAATTATTTCAAAAAAAAAAATTTATTATTTCAAAAAAAAATTATCCAAGTCAAAAAGGTAATCCATGAGTTTTACAAGTATATGAATGATACTTTCATCCCACCTAAGAGAAGAATGTAATTAACTAAGCTCAAAAAGCTTTATTATTCATTGCTAGCAACTTTAACTAAACTCGTATTGCTACCAACTTTAGGCTAAGCATTGAAGGACTAGTGTTCCTTGGAAGCTTTAGCCTAAATTGTTAACTCTCTTTGGCATTATATGGGTCACTTTCCCTACGGTTAAAGGCCTTTTATGGGGGGGTACTTTAAGGGTGATGGAGTGAGAAGGAAGCAAAACATTTGTGGTGAGGGGCTATCCTTGCTGGCTTATGAACAATATTGCTTGCACGAAATCAAAAATCTTTGACGACTGTAATACGTCTTTCCATGAGATATGGGACAGAGTGACCTTTTCGGCATCTTTATGGATCAAGGCACATGGAAATTTCTCTTATCTGCCTATTTCTGACCAGCATCGGAATTGGTAGATTATTATTTGTGGTCATTAATTTAGTATATTATTTATGAATTTATTTATTTACAATTTTTTTGGCTTACTATTGTCTGTATTTTCAGAGGGATTCCGCTTCCTCCTTTCTTTGTATAGTTTTCCTCTTACTTTAATAAATTTTCTTTTTAAAAGAATTAAACCAATAAATTTTATTTTTCTATCAAAAAAGAAAAAAGCATTTAAGCACTAGGAGTTGTGACTAAAAAATTGCTAGGTCAGTCAAGCTTTTTAACCTAAAACATTTTGAATGGAATTAAAGCATGTACCAACCTAATTTCACCATGCTGGAATGATTCTTGAAGCTTGTGAAGGCTTTGATTGCAATTACTATGGTGATTTAGGGAACCTCAACTCCTAAACCCGACATCAAAATTTGGACACTGGAATTTGGACTATTCAAATGTACACACTTAAATCCTAGTCAATGAGGTTTTCACTAGCACCTTTTGAAATGCCAAAGTCCCCTCAAAGATTGAGGTTTTTGTGTGGGACCGATAGACTTAACACATAACTATCTCTTGCAAGTTTGCTCAGCTAATGATGCTATTTCTGCATACGTATGTGAGATTTGTTACTGAAAACCTTAATCCTATTACATCGTTTTTGCATTGTGAGCTGGCTTGAAGGCTTTGGTCTAGATTATTTGCTACTTTTGGCTACACTGGGGTTGTTCCCTCTTCTATTGAGGGTGTCCTTTCTTTGGACGTTAAGGAATAATACACTATGTTTGTTGTAGACGACTCCCAAATGGATTGCTACTTTCATTTATTTAAAACAAAGTCTTCCCATATGTATCCAAAATGTTTGAAGACAACTTTCCTTTGCAAGAAATAACTTTGAGAAAAGAATATTAAGTTTAAAATTTCTTTACCTTCTCTTCCAAACCAATGACCTCAGAAGCCAAAATACTGGCACGTTCATCGGCAGCATTACATTCTAATCGTGCATTCGCATATTCATTTTTGAAACTCTCAAGTTCCAGCTGCAAACACCAAACCAAATATCATATAAAACAATATGAATAACCTGACAATATTTATAGATCCAGAAGACACTTATCTAACTCAATGCTTTAGTAACTGGACAAACACCATTCAAATGGTTCCACAAAAGATCATGAGGTGAAAGTTCTCACATCTTTAGACAGCTTTGTAATATATATACAGCAAAACAGTAACACGAACAAATTTAATCATATATAGAGAAAATTATGAACACTTTGCACAGCATCTTGCTGATATGACAAAATAGTGCCAACAATAATCAAATTTTTTTGGAGGAATATCAATCCTTACTGTGTCCCTAATCTCAACCCAACCCCATCAGGACCATCACAAAAGTTTGCACTTTTTACATTCTTTATTAGAAAGCCTTTAACAAACTATATCCTTCTATTTTTTAGTCAATCTTAATTGATCACTCCAAACTTTCAATTGTGAAACTTCTACCAAGTGCTAGTTTATAATTTCAAATTGTGGCTTTTTATCAATTCAGCTCCTCAAATCTAACAGAAATCTTATGAAAGTTAGCTTGAATCACATATATGTTCTTTTGATATATTTATATATATATGTATATATTTTAAGGAATGTGAAATTAGATTAAAGGGTATAAATGAAAAATGCACCTTATATAATTAATTCTATTTCCTTTTTTATTTTAGAAAACCTGTATATATAGGATCATGATATTCAATAAAAAACACATCAACTATTTTTAATGATATATGTCACTAGGAAAAATCTAAAATTTACATATTGTTTAATTCCATTTANNCCATTTATTTTATAATTTCTTTTCTGGTAGTTTCATTTGAAATGAAATAAATTAAAATATCTAAGCATAATATTTTTTTTAATTTGAATTATACAATTTCATAAATTTAACAATACAATCAGACACAACGCAAGTGAACAATTGTTTCAATCGAATATGGGCTGCAAAAGAAATTTGCTATATGTATATATATGTATATAATTTTTTCAGAGATTCTATTAGGGTTCGATGGTTTAGAACCCATTGTCTTCTGCTATGGGCCAACCTATTTCAGATGGAGCTAATTTCAATAGAACTTGATGTTTTTTCATCAGTAAGATTTGTCATGAGTGATACCCCCTTAGACCCTTTTCATTACCATGGTTCTTATTTTTCTTTTAAAAATATAATTTATGCAAAACCCCTAAAACTTTATTCAAATTACTGGGACACAAAATCAAAAAGACTTTAATTAAATTCAAAGAAACAATATCCAAGTTTTCTTCATCCATGGGAAAGGGAAAAAAATCCTTCCAATTGTTTCTCCTTAGCAGTAAAATTTTGAAAGTCTTGTAGACAAAGGGGTGTATTATAATATAGATAATAAACTTGGAACATTTTCAAAACTTAAAACTTTTAGAATAATTGACCACCTAAGTCCATTATTTTACATATATAAAAAAAAATCTCATTCAAAGAGAACACTGAAATTATTGTTACTTTTCCCAGCAAGAAAAAGCCCATAGAAAAGATTGTTCAATCAAAATAAGCTCATTTAAAAAATGTTGTCTTTGTATAACTTTGTATGCTTACTAATGATCCCAGCAAGCTATGTAGAACAACATCAAGATTAGCATTAAATGATGGATGAGTAATGCCTAGTTTGTGCATTTACATTTGTGCACAATATTAAGTACATATATTGAGGCTAATGGTTGCAAAGAAACAATGTCATACAACACAACATAGCTACAACTGAGGATAATATATGTAAATCTTTTGCTAACTACAGGAATCACTATCAATAAAACAATATGCTTGAGCAGTATATTATTACATGATACAGGTATTAACTATACAAAGAAATTACAAGACTGAACTCCTTGAGAATAAGGAATACTCAACACTTACCAAGTGGGCCTTGATTTCTTCTTGCAGCATCTCCATGTCAGATTTTAGTTGGTTGACAATACTTCTCTGGATGAAAAAAAAAATGTTAAAAAGTACTCAAATATGGGTCAATGAAGATTTTCAGAGCAATTAGACACCTCATAAGTAAGCTGTGATTATCATAAAAACTAATCCACTTAGAAAGTACATTGAGGACTACAAATGGCTATAGCCAACTTCCTGATGGTAAATTTTGAAAATGTAATTTCACTATATTCTGTTCCAGTCCAGCATAGCTTAAGTGCCCCAAGAGGATGCCTAAGGACTCTACAAAAATATGAACTCTATGCATCAACTACCACACAGAATATGCAACAATAGGTTTTTCTAAGGGAGCAATTAGACACCTCATAAGTAAGCTGTGATTATCATAAAAACTAATCCACTTAGAAAGTACATTGAGGACTACAAATGGCTATAGCCAACTTCCTGATGGTAAATTTTGAAAATGTAATTTCACTATATTCTGTTCCAGTCCAGCATAGCTTAAGTGCCCCAAGAGGATGCCTAAGGACTCTACAAAAATATGAACTCTATGCATCAACTACCACACAGAATATGCAACAATAGGTTTTTCTAAGGGTCTTCTTATGTCTAAAGATTTTCAGGTTTCCACAAATAAAAAAAAATTGGTTTCTACAAGGAAGGAAGATGTATTGAATGAGATTTAGCTATTTTATTGTTTGAGAGATTTTAAAATTCCTTCCATAGATAGAAAATAAGAATGATGAGATGAATCCAACTTGTATTGTCCTCTGTTCACTTGTTATCAGTTGAAAGGTCACAGGAACAACCCAAAACCACCAACCCTCTCCCACAGAAAGAGAGTCATCAGCAAGCATTCAAGTATTACTTCCAACTAATGATAATTGGTAACTAGCAATGCATAGGAATGATGAAAAGAAATAGCAAAGACTTGCTTTCTTTTAACATAACAAAATACATAGCATTCTAGCAAGCTACTTCACATCACCACAACATGGATAGATAAAGAAACACTACTGATAACACAGATGTAATGCAGAAGTATCAAAATTCACAGATAAACCTGTTGGTTGTAACTATCTGTCAAGGATGAATTTTCAGCCGCTAAGGATTCTGCCAATGCACGTGAAGCCTCAAGAGCTCGTTGCAATGAAAATTTTTCTTGTGTCAAATCTTCAATGTGCTGGAAGGAAACAGAACGTAGAATGGAAGAATGATTCAGAGGTGAAGGGTCATGAAAAAAAATTGATGCATCAATTAACAACTGAATAGATATTATCAAAAATAGATGTCATCTAAATTATTTTTGTAATTGCAAAATCTTATCTGAATTTTATTCCAATAAAAGAAATATTGAACATTTTCTAAGGCATATAAATGTTCATCACAATGCCTTGAAGGAAATGTTCAAACAGCCTCAGAGTTGGTTGAGATTCCAAACAAGTAGTGTTCCAAAAATCTGAAGATATTCACATGATTAACACCCTTTTTCCAAAATCAATTCATCTCTAGCCATGGTTCAAATATTATCAAATGGAAACCTGTTGCTCTCCCACACCCTCCTCCCACGTGGCCCCTGAGAAACCTTTCTTCCCTTTCTTGATAAATAACAAAGGTTGGAAATGAAAAATCAATTAATTAAGAAGCATATCTCTACAAGCAGTATGTCAACAGAAAACACGAGAAAAAAACCACTAAAGAGAACGGGCCAAAAACCATTGAGGCACCTGTTCCAAAGCAGCAAAGTCTTCGTTCTGTTTGTTGGAGTAGAATTCATGCTTCCCCTCCATGCTATTATCATTAACACCCAGCAGGGCCCCATTATTGGCAGAAGCTGAGTGTTTAGTAGGATTTTCAAGTGTGGTGAAGGAACTAGGTGTTTTAAGGTTTGTGAAAGATCCCATACTATTGGTCTCTGTATGTTGGTTCTGAAAATGGTATGATCCTTGGCCATCCACACCATTTACTTGCAAACTACTAGATTTAACTGAACCTTCCTCCAGTTCAGTATGCTGAGAACATGCACCCGAAGAAGCTCTTGAGACATTAAGAGAATCAAGGAAAGAAGGACGAGATCTCCTGGCATTAGTTTCATTTCTAACTGAGTGAAGTGGCAACTCGCTTACAGAACTTCTGTTATCAAAAGCGAAAGCTGAAGATTCAGATGTTCGGAAAGGGTCACTAAACAAACTGGTCAAACTGTTGGCAGTGATATTCGGCATTCTTTCCCCATAATTAGAAGTGCCAGGTTCTCCAAATTCTGCACTACCCTGCAGGTTTAGCCCAGATTTAAGGAGTTTGTTGCTCATGCTGGTAGCAGGTTGGATAGAGCCTGTAATGAAAACCAAAGACACATATAATTTGGCCAGTTCCTCCCTAAAACAAGATAGGTGATAATAAACAAGGACACAAATCATTTTCACTTACATAAATTTACCTTCATAGTTTGAGGTTAACCCAGGGCCATTATCCAGCATGCTGACATCACTGGACTTACTTTGCAGTACTGTGTTCCCAGAAATCTGAGAGGAAACTTTAGCACCAAAATCATGAGGAAAAGCTGGATTTATGACTGCTGGAACACGTATGGAACTGTCACTTCCTTTTAAGTGGGATTCCTCCATCTCATAAAGACTAGATTTACTAGAACTGCTGTCATAACCTTGGTTCCCTTCCATATATCTACCCATAAGATTGTTGGGCATACTCCCATATGAATGTAAACCTCTACTGTTATTGTGTATTTCGAAGTCATTATTTGAATCTTTTGCTTCTTGGCTATTATAAACATCCATTGATTCGACAGACTCAGTCACTTCATGTTTCTTAATTTCTTGATTGTTTACATGTGTCGGCACAAAATCTGCTGAAGATATAACATAATCATTTATAGAAGGAGGATTACTACCATGGATGCCATTTGAAGGAATTTGTTGATTTTTCTGGGAAAAAACATCCGCTTTGCCAGACGTTATTATTTCAGTGGGTCCATCAGAGGTGCCAGCCCCATCTGATTCTGTATCTCGTACATGCTCAGTTGCAACATCATGAGCATTAGACTGACTACTCGAAGCAGCCTTCTTCGCCCGCTCAGCTGCTTTTTTCTTGCGGAACTCCTCCAGCTGCAAGAGAAACCAAAACACATTTCGAACAAAATTTCAAAAGTTATTTTTCTTTTGTCGGGGGATATTTTAGTTGTATAATAGCTGATTACAAGAGACAATACATCGATAATGCCTTGACTGTAATAATAACAATTACAAATTAGCTGTTCCAAACAAAAACATACAAATATCCAGAATCTGTGTCCAAAGTCTATGCAAAACAAAAGAAGATATCTAGGATACTTTTTTAGTCTGTTTTTTTTTTTTGGATCCATTATGCATCCGTGCTTCATTTATGATTTAGAAAAATACTTAATGTTATCTACAAACAATTGAACAAACACCACTACAGAACAGACTAGCCCAAATTTTCAAACCAAGAAAAATAATAAGTCCCACAATACATAAACACTGTAATGCAAGCCCCAATCAGTATATTAGCTATATCGCAGGTCATAGTAATTTTTCCTATTCATCCATTATCTCTAAACTCTCTAGTACGTTACTGCTCTTCTAAGATCTCTATTCACAGCATCAAACAAAAATTCTTGATCTTTACAACTTGAGTATGTAACCTAGCATTTGCTTCGTTGATCCAGGTATCACTGAAATCACCTCATACAGCTATTTTACAAAATCACTCATGAGTTTGCGTTCCTTAGAATTAAAAGCCCAACTGCAGTGCCCCTTTGAGAAGAACTATAAAAGCAGACAACAGCAATGCTTCAGGTCTCTTACAAGGAAATCCCATATTCTCCCCTAATCCCGCTCCCCGCTCTCCAAGCTCAGACACGCACAAACATACAGGTGAAGAACACTTGGTTCCGCACATGGAAACTTGTTGGAAACTTGAGTTAAACAGGAAATCCAGAAGCTTCCAATTAAAAATCCATCAAAAGATTAACAAAACAATAGATTTACAGGATTGATTAAAAAATGCAAGACATGACAATAACCAACCAATTGCAGATCACGTCCACATATTCCATTAGCCGTCAGTTAATGAATCCAGAAGACAAACACATATCTCTTTCCAATATTTAATGAAAAATCATATACAACGCGCGCATGAAGTTCCGTAACCAGACAAGAACCACCATCCGAAACTCGAAATAAAGCCAACGGGATAATCTCACATACACAATTTATAACACGTTGAACAAGAGGTTTAACAAAACATCAGTGGCTATGATAGAATCAATAATCACATACCAACGGCAACGTGAATTCAAAAAAGATATGTGAAATGTAAGAAGTACCCGACGTTTCCCGGCTGCCAAATGCTCTTGTTTTCGAGAACTCGGCAACACCTGAGCAGAAGCCATTTGAATCCCAAAATCTCAAAGAAAAAAAAAACCCAAACTAAATCAAATTAATCTCCAATTTACACCTCCGTCATCACCTCGAATCAGAATTCCTTCAAAACCCTAATCAAACAACCAAATAGACAATTCTCGCAATTCACGATCTCGAGTCCTTAAAAGAGAGCCCAAAAAATGAGAGTATTATCAGATCAGCCGATAGCTGATGAAAACAATTTGAACCCGACGATTTCAGAAAAGAACAAACGGTCGGGTTTCCTCTTAAAACGGTCGTGTAAGTTTTGGAATTATCCAAATGGGAGATGATAAAAAAGAAAAACCCAACAAAAAACTCCAATAGAGAGCAAAAGGAATTAGGGTCCGATCTTGATCGGGAAGAAGGAGAGAGGAAAAAAGAGAACAGGAGTTTGCGTTGTGCATTAAAAAGAAAAAAAGTAATTACGTTCTTCCTCCTGGTAGATCTCCCCGCTTTCCTCTCTCTCCATAGCTCCCAACTGTTATGTTTTCAATTTTCACGTATGAGTCGTTGGTAGATGATAGGGTCACCTGTAAGAAAACAAAACTTATGAACTACCTATGTTTGGTGCCAAATCTGTTTTGATTTTGAAGCAAATCTGCTAATCTCGTTCCTAAATAATTCAAAAATCTTAATTATTATTCTTAATTACATGTTTCCACATTTTTATTTCCTACAATTGTATTTTTTTAAAAAAAAATGAAAACAAATTGAAGAAAAATTAGAAAAATATTGCAATAATAAAAATAGCAACTTCTTTGTCAAGGAAAATCGTTTAATTTTTTAAAAAATGTAATAAATGAATAAATAAATTTATTTTTATTTATTTATTTTTTAAAAACGTATAATCTTCCGAAATTAATAAATCGATGAGAAATAAATAATTTTATTTAATTTATAAACTCGATATAAATAATAATTTTTAAGTTAAAAAATTGACAAAATAATTAATAACAATACAAACAAAAATTTAATAATTTATGATACGAATATTTTAATCGAAATTATAAAAAAAAATTAAAATTAATTTTTTAGTTAATTTGTAAATCAACATAAAAATAAAAATAAAAATTTTTGCTTATAAACCCATGAGATATATATATCAACATATAAAAATAAACAAAAAATTTTAATTTATTTTTTTTATCAAACTACATTAAGATTAAAATTTATATTTGAAATTTTTGATAAATATTTAATTAAGACTATTATTTTAATTAAAATAATATGTCTTGTAATTCTTCTAATTAAAAAATTATATAAAAATTAAAATTATTTAATTAACAATTTTACAGGGACTATCTAACTAAAAACTACAATAAACAATCACAATCATATTAATTGAAAATTATATTAAAAACTATAACTGTTTGTTTAAAAGCACTACTAACAGTTTAATTAAACATTATATTAAAATTAAAATTAAAAATACTATTACAATTTAGTTAAATAGTCTACTGAAATTGAAATTGTCTCTATTAAATATCTACCTAAGAATTTAATATAGAAATTGCAATCCCATTAATTATGAATTAGAATGACTTAATTAAAAAAAAATCTACCAACTGTTTAATTTTAAAATTAATTCAGTTATATAATTTAAAATTATATAATTAAAAATTTTACGACACCGATAAATTGTCTAATCAAATTTCACTAAATTAAAATTAATTATTAAAAATTCTATTATGAAAAATTAGATATTATTATATTAATAGTGTTAATGAAGTGTAATTTTTAAAATTAAAACAACATAAAGGGTCTAATTAAATTTTTATTATAATAAATTAGTATAGTTAAATCCATGTGTAGCATGACTTACATATTTAGTTAAAATATATAATAATTATATAAGTATTTAAATCTTGGTCAATTTAATAGTACCATGACATATTATTTATCGTAATTTGATATTAAATTAGATCATAATTTTTTAAAAAAAAAATATTTGAATTAATTTTTTCCTCCAAAAGTCATAATATCGTTAATAATTATATTACGTGTTATCGATACGGATAGATAACATATTTAGTTATAACATCTAATCACATATAGGATACTTCTATTCTAATTTAAAATTTTCGGTTTAAATATATTGAATTAAACATTTATTTTATTTATGAAAAAGTTTAAGATAAACATTAGCAAATAAATTTAATTATAAAGTAAATTCTTACTTGTAAATCTTATCTAAATATACATCTTCGTAAATCTTAAAAACGTTTGAGAGTAAAATTGTTGTAAAAATTTGTATTCTCGATATATTATATGTATATGCATACATATAAATTATTGTAATACATAAACAAGGTACATACAATGCATCAATCATTTTAACCTTGTGCTGCAAATTTCATCCTCAAATATGTGAAGAAAGCTAGCATTTTATCATGATTCGGAAGGTTTTCTTTGATAATCGGAATTTGATTGAAATTCGTAATCCAAGCATGCAAGCGAGGAAAAGTATTTGGATCCATCAATTTTATGCCTACTGCTTGTTCCATTACCTCAAACCAACGTCCTAAAAATCCATAGCAGATGTCTACCATGTTGATACTTTTGCCACCAAAATACTTGTTATCGTTCCCAAGTGCCTGCTCTTCTACTATTTTCAGTGCTTCCTTTGTCTCGTTTATCGCCTTCTCTTGCTCTTCTCCGGTTTTGTCCAATATGGAATGGAAGCTCGAATGCTGTATCAATGCAACACTTGACTAATTACTATATATATATTTTTTTAATTTAGTGTTTACCTATTTTTATGTCAGTTTTTACAAACTGAAATTTAGTACTTTTCCGATTTGATCAAAAACAGATCATTTGTACTCGGGTCTAAAGAACTAACAAAGAAAATTTTGTTAAAGATACTGCAAACAGGTAACATATTTAAAGAAAAAAAAAATAGAAAGACTTGTTAAAAAAAGGATGAAAATTTGTTACCTTTCCTGCTATAAATTCAATCCAAAACCGACATTGAGCTCTTTCATAAGCATCAATTGGCAGCAATGGATTTTCAGGCCATGTTTCTTCGATGTACTCGAGGATTATCAGGGAATCAACAATTGGTTTACCACGATGAACGAGCACTGGAACCTTCTTGTAAACTGGGTTGTACTGTAACAACAATTCACTCTTATTAAGAAGGTTTTCTTCTATGTACTCATAATTCACACCCTTCAGTTTGAGTGCCCATATCACTCTGTAACAAAATGAGCTGCTCCAGAATCCGTGTAGCTTCACATCCTCCATTGTTGTGTTAGATCAGTGTATGCAAGGTGTAGATCAAGTCAACTTATAGTGGTTAGTGAAATATAATATTGTCTGGCCATAATACTCCAGTATTATATGAAAATAATGGTAGCAAGTGATTTTCTTCTTAATTATTAAAATGCATCATGTTTCATGGCTTCTTCTTCCTAATCATGAAAACTAATAATATGGTTTGTACCTTTTTTTATTTTATTTTTATTGTCATGACATGTTATAAAGAATCTCACCCAGTTTATAGTTCAATATTGAAAGCAAAGTACATTAAGATAACCTAAAATAATCTGAATAATTTGGGAGGGATGGATCTTGGATCCGATTCGCTTGTTTTAATGGCTTGTTTTCCAATTTAGTGGAGATATATAACTTTCCAGAGCTTTTAATATCATATAAGAGATTACCCATTAACCAAGATAGCTCTAGAAATCAAGCCTGAGAATGAGTGTTGGCCTAGTGTTATGTTCTGTCATCTAGGTATATATAAACAACATCGAACCTCAATTAGATAAGAAGCTTGATGAAAGCTCAAGACTAAATATCAATTCACCCAACTTCCCAACTGGGTTTTTCTTTTCTTTTAATCTTCTTTAGAAAACTGTAGCATCCTATGGCATTCTTCATGCCCTTTTCAGCTCTCAAGTTTTCTGTATCAAAGTAATTTATTGCTGAAAGTTACTTAACGCCATCATCATCTTTCCATTTTACTTGGCTGCAGATCTTTGCAACATAGATTCATACATGAGCCCAAAACTATAGGAAATAAATTGGAAGGCACACAAAAAAATGAGGTCTTACGCCATCGTACACATAGATTTACTGGCAGGATATTAGGCATGACTAAACTATTAGATGGAATTGGTTCTGATACCATGTTAGATTCAAACTTGAGACAAATGATGGTCCAACTGAACAACGCCCTTTTTGGGGTTCCTTTATTGGTACAGATTCCAGTTAAAACAGCATTGATTTGGTGGCTAGTTTTACAACATTCTTGTTCGTTGTACCTGAAGCTTTTCCCTTTTGGTACAAACTTCTCTCTGAAATTTTTTTCTTTGTCAATACAATATGACAAAATGACAGAACTCTTACCACAGGGTATCCAAATACACTAGATCAATACTATGTTTGTCATAATAACTAACCAATAGCTTTAAGAAAATGAAAATAGAGAAAATCAACTTATGATGTTTCATTTATTCTTGATCAAGTCAACATGTCCATTATGGCCATCAAGCTTCCGCAACAAACTTGTCCCTCAAGCACTTAAGGTGCAGAACGAATTTATGACGGTCAGGAAGGTTGTCTTTGATTACTGGAACTTGTCTGAAATTCTTGATCCATGCATGCAAGCGAGGCAAAGTGTTTGAATCAAGCAATTTGACGCCCACTACTTCTTCTGTGCACTCGAACCAGTGAGCCAGCCATCCGCATACTATGTCTACCAATCCTATAGAGTCACCGTTGAAGAACTTCTTGTCACCTAAACCCTGCTCTTCTAACACTTGCAGTACTTCTACTACTTCTTTTGCAGCCTTCTCTTGTTCACTTCCTCTACTTTTGAAAAATGCAAAGAAAACTAGGCCCTGTATGATTTTCCATATTGGTTATCAGCATGACTTAGATATGTAACTAAAAGGTTAATGATAATCAGAATATATTAATTAAGATTCATGTCTACGCTTGAATAATTTCTTTAGTCAATGAGAAAAAGTATAGTCCTGAAGTATGATATTTATATGAACAAGAAGATATATGGGGTAAAAAGCCTGAAACAAAAGCTGGAAAGGAGAGCAATATGTACAGGATAAACGACCTTTTCTTCTACAAATTTAATCCAGAACCGAGCTAATGCCCTGCCATAAGCATCTTTAGGCAGCAATGGATTCTCCGGCCAAGTTTCTTCGATGTATTCAAGAATAACACAAGACTCAACAATTGGCTTGCCATCATGAACAAGTACAGGGATCTTCTTATAAATTGGGTTGTATTGTAATAACAAATCACTCTTGTTGGATAGGTCTTCTTCGATGTAATCGTACTTGACACCCTTCAGTTTCAGTGCCCATATAACTCTATGGCTATATGGACTAGGCCAGAATCCATGTAGTTTTACTTCTTCCATAGTTAGAAGATGTGGAGCCGTGGAGGTCTTCTAATGGCTATTATGTATAGGAAGTCCTGGTAAATGATGAAATATCAAATATATATTGGAGATTTCATTATCATAGTAATTAATATTGTGTTGACAAATAATAGATGTATAGAAAAAGAGGGATGACTTTTCAACATTACAGACTGTAGTTTGGTTGATCAAGGGGGATGGACTGGAATTTTGTGTACATTTTTTGTGGAAAATGAAGTTAGGTTTGAGAATTAGGAGGATAATGTGGAAGATAAGCCTGACCCAGAAAGTCCCAGTTGGTGTGACTTCCTGTAGGTGATGGAGATATGGATAACGAGTAAGATTAGAACTCAAGAATTTAATTTCGTATGAAAACGTTGTTTCATATGAGTTAACTTTTTTCGAATTTTTTAAAATACTTTTAATTAAAAAAATAAAATTTATGCTGCAATGGAAAAGAATAATTATTTATCCCATGAAATACTCTTGATCCAGAAGACAATATAGGCAAAACAGGCATTACAAATTAGATGACTTGGTAAACATTCATTTGATTTATATAAGGATAGAACACATTGACTTTCCACTTATAGCATCATTTAGATGCTAACAACATTTCTCTCCTTTGCTTTAGAAAGAAGAAAAGCTTTTCTCTATCGGGAAGATTATCCTTGATGATCGAGTGTTGCTTGAAATTGTTGATCCATGCTTTTAAACGAGGGAACTTGTTGGCTTCGAGTAGCTTAATGCCTACAACATCTTCGATCACCCCCAACCAATGAGCAATCCCGCCGAACGCAATGTCTACCATGTTAATTTTGTCCCCACCAAAAAATTTCTTATTTTCCAGGCCATGTTCTTCTATCATCCGTAGCATCTCAACACAATCCTTTACTGCTTTTTCTTGTTCTAAACCTTCGGTTCTATAAATTACCCACATTAAAGGACTCTACAAAAACCGAATCATTAATGTTAAATTCTTAATTAAGTTTAGTTCAAATTCCAATTCTAATAGAACATAAATATGATTTTGGTTTGAACAAAAATGGTAGTACAATTCTAAATCAATTTTATGTTCAATTTAAATTAAATATTTTTTATGATTTCTTCTTTAATAGGTTAAGATACAAAATCAAAATAGTTACCTATCAAATATATAAATTATGACTAATTTCTACGTATAAAATAACTAAAATTTTGAATTTTGAATAAAGATGAAATAAACTTAAATCAAATTCAATATAGCTTTGGCTTTATTGTATGAACACGATTTTGATAACAAAAAAAAGATTGATACGAAATTTCTATTCTACATGTAGGAAGTGCGAAGATATACCTTGTCATTGGCAAATTTAATCCAAATTCTAGCGAGAGCTCTGTCGTAAGAGTGAGTTGGCAGCAAGGGATTTTGAGGCCATATTTCTTCAATATATTCAACAATCACCATAGATTCACTGATGGGTTTTCCAGCATGAACAAGAACTGGGATCTTCTTATAAACAGGATTGTACTGCAAAAGCAAATCACTCTTATTAGGAAGAGCTTCTTCAATGTTTTCATATGCTATGCCTTTGATTTCAAGAGCCCATATCACCCTGCAACTGAAGGGACTAGCCCAATTTCCATGCAACTTAACTTCACCCATCTCAGAGATGATTCAGAATACTTCCACTCATATAATCAGCTTTTATAGTCACTAATGGAGTCCTTCTTTCTTGGCCATAAAGCTTAGCAAAGTCTTAATTTCAATGCAATTGAGCTTTGAATTCAAACAATTATACTTAATTAATTTAATTATATAATTAGTATATGTTTCTATTCATATTTAACTTTTCTTCTAATTAATTATTAGTAAGTGATCATTAATTTTTTATAATATTGAAAAAATATGTGACTAAGTCGAAAATATATTTGTTTATCACTTTGACTTATAATTTATTCTTCTAAAGTTTTAAATTAAATACATAAAAAAATGTTATAAATTCATAAACATGTAAAGTCTTAATTAATCTCAAGTTAGATTAATAAAAGAGATTAATCATTAAATAACTAAATCATTTAAATTGGGTAAATAAAAAATAAAAATAAAATTTAAACTTAAATAATTGATAATTCAGAAGTCTTAAACACTTATTTATCTCTAAATTTAATAGTAGCCACCTGTTTTCTCCTTTGAAAAATGAGCGCTACTTCACACACATAACCTGATAAATTTACGTAGTAGTTAGCGAAAATTTAAAATTCAATTATCTTCTATACGAAATTACAATTCATGAGACTTACAAGATCCTTTATATTACATCATTATAATATAATTAAACTGACTTTATAACACGAACTCTTATAGTCAATAAAATTTCTTTAAAATCTTCTTTCGACCTTAGACTTACTCTTGATCTAAACTAATCTGCATTGGGGGTGTGAATTGAAGTGAACTTCACAGACTCAGTAAGAAAAGTGGGCAATGCCCACAATAAAGACATGCATACACTCAATCATCAAATCTTCTAAATCAGTTTATTCAGTAAACATTCAGAATTTTTTATATTAATATCATAATTTAGGACATAAACAGTACAATAAATAACATCATTCAGCATTCAGTATCACAATTTAAGCAGTAAACAGTTCAGTAGATATTAATTCAGTATTTTAGTATCGTAAATTTTACTTATGACTTTCATATTCGTTCCCGTCAGTTTATATTTTATTTAAAATAGTTTCACCATGTGATACCATTTCTGTCGGCATCAACGATGGCAGCAAGGATCCCCTCTATCACGTGAATACGTTACAATTCAGTTTATAGTTTACAATTGCAGTACATAGTATATATTTTATAGTTCTTATCGTTTCGCTAAATCTGGCTGAAGCCGTATCCACGAGTAAGGTTTACCACAGTCATACACCAAAAGACTACACACATCCACATCCCTCGATGATACCAGTTAAACAAATTTTCTCGTCTTTTAAAGATTTTTATGTGATTCTTTTACTAATCAAGTTCATCACTAGTGACTTACTCAGACATGCACCTACTTATATATCATATATATCATACATCAACATGCCTACACAATCAACATAATATATATACTCTATACACATAGTTATCTACTCAAATAAGTATATCTAAACATGCAATACATGCAACATGAATATATTTATATTTATACAAAACATATATGTATTCTATAAGTAGACACATACAAGTTGTTCACTCATACATACACATGTTGCACAACCTACAATTATATATATATATATACATCACATACACTAATAACTCAATAACTAGCATGCATATAATTTGCATATACTTACAAGTAACAATATGAATACATAATTATACTTCATACACAATATTATGTAGGTTTCTAATTATATGCAATTGTACACATGCGAATATGATAAGTTCGTAGAACTCATGGTAAAAAATTTAAACAGTTTGTAAAGTCTATAAACAAGTCATTTCAACATAAAATAAGGTTCATAAAAACATGGGGTCCTTTGAAAGGTGTCGGAATCCTCATTGGCTTAGGTCTACGCTCTCCTCTAAATTCAGTATTGTTCAGATAATTCTCTCGTTTACAAACAAAAAATATGTGAATTAATGATGGGCACTTGTAAAAATAATTAGAATATAAAAAGGGGATCGAGTTTTATCATAGCGAAATCATGATTACTAGAATCGCTACATGCCACCATACGTGTGTCCTTTGTTCACCATGCGTTGTTGCCAGAGTGTCACAGCTACCACACATGCCGGTGGAACCAGTAGGCACCAGTAGAACCACCCACACGTCGCCATGCTTCAGCCGGAACTCATCACAGAATGAGTTGCACGTGCAGATCCAACATGTACATGGTAAAATCGCACCAAAGGAGCAAGGAGTATGCGGGATCGCATGACCAACCATTGCGAATCTCCTTCTTCTTCGGCTGCTAATCGTCGCGGGTCTCCTTTTTTCTTGGTCGTGCGCCAAGTCCTTTCATTTTTTTGGATTCACACGGCTGTCGACTATACAGATCTGGTCATCGCACGCACCAGACCCACCTTCTCTCTCTCTCTCTCTCTCTCTTTCTTTCCTAAGTTGTTTTCTCTCTTTTCGTGATCCACTCTCTCTCTCTCATTTTCAAAATTTTCATTTTTCCTTTAATAGACGGGAGGACGGAGAGCCCTACACGCCTCTTCTTCCTTCTTCTTCGGTGTGCAGGTTCTTACTTCGTCCTCATCTGGCGGCCAAAGGCGTACACGCCTCTAGTTGCCCTAATTTTTTTTTCTTTTTCTATGACCAAAACGACATTGTTTTGATGCTCTCAAAACAACGTCGTTTCACCTATTTTTATTTTTCATTCATTCGCATCAAAACGATGTCATTTTTGAAGTTTCCCAAAACAACGTTATTTTGGCTTTTCTTACTTTTAAGAAACAAATAAATTGGGTTTGTTTTTCTTGGACCGGGTTATTACAAAATTGTTACATTATTAGATACTAATTAAATTTTTATTCTATATAAGATTTTTATTTTTTAGGCTAATATCTTATATATTATTTTTTTTTTAATTTTAATTTGTTTAATCTTAAACTTTTTAAAGTGGATTTATATTTTAATAACAATTTTGGCAATTATAATATTTATCTAAATAAAAAAAAGTGAGTTATAGAAGTAAAACAATTTAAGAAAAAAAAAACATAAATATCATGTTAAAGATAATATAGATATTGTTGTTTGAAAGGATAATATAGATATTTCCAAGGCACGTGCAGCAACCGAATCCGTTGCCACGTCAAACCGAAAACATCCATTTTGTCTGGTAATACCGCTTTCCGCTGAGGTCATGTCGGCGCACCCGATTCCTCCTCTGCAAAACGACGATTCACTGAGTCACTGAGTCATAGAAGCTCCCTTTTTCCACAATCCATACCCCACCATTCACGTGCTCTCCTCGCCTCTCCTCTCCTCTCCTCTTCCTCCTCTCGCTCTTCAATGGCGAGGGTCGTAGAGCACGACTTGCACGAAAAACAGGGAAAACATATTGAAGGACATGGAAATGGCGCCATTTGGGAAGAGGAGGAGATGTTCGTCGACAGACAATCCAAGAAGAGGAAGTGGAAGAGGAGAATAAACAACAGGAAGAGGCCAAAATTCCAAGTCCCTGTAGAAGAAGAAGAAGAAGGGGCTGTGCGAGTCAAGGACCCGTTGGAGGTTTTTGGCCGCGACTTAATGATGATGATTTTGGGGAACCTAGACGCACGCAGTATCGCCCTATCTCTCCTTGTGTCCCATGGCTGGCACGATGTCGCTTCGAGCGACAGGTTGTGGAGCTCCAAGGTACCATTTCTTACTTCTGCTCTTAATAACTTTTTTTCCTTAATTCTCATGTCTCCTGTTTGCGACTAGACTTGAATTTTGTTTTCGGGGTTTGAGAATTTGAGAATTTGTTTTTACTTGTTAGACCTCTCTTACATTCAGAAATAGGTTTTTTAGCTCAGATATCTCTAAATCAGAATATTACATTAGCTTTGGCCCATAAGGTGGCCAAGAACGTTATGCCCTCCCACGTCTCCTGAAATGACGAGTGGTGTCTTGAAAAATCCTCCAGTTCTGTTCCTCGCAAGCCACATAAAATACAAGGCAGCAAAAACGAGACCTTTGCCAACTTCTTGATCCTTTCTCCACGAAAACACAATCTCATAAAGCTCTCAGCCGTAGGAGGACCCACCTGAGCAAACAAAACCAGTTAATGATTCTTGTCCACAATTTCCACATTATTTCGCAATAAATGAATAAGTGAGAGTTCGTCTTCCCTCCATTATAATGCGTCATGCAGACACCAAGAGACAAGACTTAGTTTTGCCGACAGACTTGAAGTATCTCATAAGTGTTGAGCCTGTGATGAATGGTTGTGCAAGCAAACAGCACTTGTCTAGGAGCCTTGTCTTTGATGGAATTGGAGCTCTCCAAAAGTCCTTGGAAACAATGTGATGGTTGGATGTTGGGTGGTTGATGAGGTGAGAAAAGAAAGATTAAAAGTGTCTAGACATATAGGTTTAAATGACCAAGTTCTGGTATCTAACTGGGAAGTTAGGTGAACTGGTTCCAATATGTTTAGGAGGTAGAGCATGTTATGAGTCTCCCTATTGGATGCGTTAAGATAAAAATGAAAGTTCCAATCTACCCATCCCTCTATGGTGGGTGTAAAACTTGATATAGGAGCATGATGTTTAGTTGATAGGTTGTACAGTTGTGGGAATTCGCTAGCCAAAGGTTGATTGCTAATCCATTTATCCTTCGAAAACAACACTCTAGAACTGTCTTCGGAGTTTAGGTGAGTGAATGGAACAAACAATGGTTGTACGTGGGAGATGGCTTTCCTGGACTTCTATAAGAACTGGATTCTTGCTAAGACATTCCATCCATCCCTGCAACCCTGTGAATTTTGTTAACCATTTTATGCCACAAAGAGTTTGATTCATGTCATTTAGTCAATATAGATAAAGTTTTTTATCTAAATTCCCAATACCAAGCCCCTTCCAAACACTAGACTGATAATGTTACTTCCAACTCACTAAGCAGTCCCTGTTCTCCTCCCTGGCCTACCATAGGAAGTGACGCATATACCCCTCAAGTTCTCTCCCTATCCCTATGGAAATTCTAAATAAGGACAAATGATAGATAGGGATACTAGACAAACATGTTTGAATAAGAGTTACCTTCCAGCTAGAGAGAAAATTTGTCTTTCCAACACTCCCACCACTTAGCCACTTTGTCTACTACCCCAGTCTAAAAACTCGTACTCCTAGGTTACCCAAATGAGACGCTTAAATATGTGATGTGCCAAGCTAATCTAGTGCATCCTATCAAACCTGTTATCTACTTGACTATACTCTCATGTACATTAATCTTGATTAGTCCACTCTTAGCCAAGTTGATTGTAAGCCGGACACTTACTGGAAACTGGGATAAGTGTGAGCTTGTTATTAATAATTCTTTTGTTGGGTTGTAGAAATAAGATCGTGTAATATCTCTTTCATATCTCTCCTTGCCAGAAACCCTTTCAATGTACCATTTTCCAATCCACCATTAGGGTAAACAGTAAAGTTGGGAGTGGGTTTCCTTGCCTCACACCTCCGGATGCTTGAAACCATTCATGTGGTTTCCTAATTATCATTACTGCAAAGCAACAGATGTTAAACATCCATTTATCCACCCTCTCCATCAAGACCTGAACCTCTTATGCTCCATGATTCCATCTAAAAAAATTCCAATTTACCATACCATAGGCTTTTTCAAGATCAAGCTTGAGCATCATACCTTTCTTTTCGGCCATTTGATGGCTTCCATAATCTCGTTTTCTATTTTAATGAAGTGTCAAGGATTTGTCTATCTTTCACAGAGGTATTTTAAGTCAGTGGTATTTGTGTCATACAGAATGTCACTAACTCTTAAAGAAAGCACCTTACTGATCCTCTTGCATACACTTGTCACTAAACTGTTAGAGACCGTTAGAGACTTGTCCTTTTTAGAAATAAGGGTAGTAAATGTCGTGTTCATGCTTTTACAAATATTGGCAATCAATTAAACTTCATCTAACATTTTGACTACTTCCATTTTGAGTGCATCCAAGCAGCTTTGGGAGAAAGGCGTGGAAACGTTGTATAGGTCTGGGTCTTGTCATTCCCTAATTCGACACCACACTCCTTATTTCCCCTCCTCAAACAGTCTTTCTTGAATGGCCTTCTCACCTTTTCTTCAGTATATAGGCTCCTGTAAAACTGAGTAATGGCTCTCTTTATGGTTTCTACATTCCTCTCAACAACCCTATTCTTGTGCTCCAACTCTTTTGTTAGGCTTTTCCTTCCACAACCATTCACAACTCTATGGTAGAGACGTGTGTTTGTATCCCCCTCCTTTACCCACTTGTTCTTGCTTTTGTCTGCAGTCTGCTCCTCCAGCATCGCTTCATCCAACTTGTTTCTTGGTCCTATTAAGTGATCCTTTTGGCTTTCAGAGATATTATTCTCTATCACCTAGATCACTGCTTTTCTTACTCCTATATTTCCAAACACCTCCTTTTTCCACCTTTTCATTTTTTCCTTGTGAACTTCAATTTCCTTATAAACTTATATCCGTCCCACTCATTTGTTTCACCTTCCTGCCACCATTTTCTTATCCTTTGGATGAATTTTAGGTGTTGAAGCTACATGTTTTAAACTGGAAAAGGGTAAGACCCATCTGATCCGTGGGGTTTCAGCATGATAAGGAAATGATATGAAACATGACATGGGATCACTTCCTGTGCCATATCGGGATAGCTATTCTCCTAATGCATAGATATCAGAAATCAGTCTAGATGTGATGACATAGTACCTCGCCTATCTACCGACCATGTGACTTGGGCATTTGCTAAAGGAAGATCTCTACGTTTACAATCTTGAATAAAATCATTAAATCTTCTCATTGATGTTATCATTCAGTTTTTCTTACGGAAACCTACAGAAGTTGAAGTCCCTTCTACACATCAAAAAGAGTTGAAAGGCCGGATGAATATGACATCTATTCCCGAAAGAGAGGTCCAAGGCTAGGTCTATTTGGCCCATAGACACTTGTAAGCCACTGACACCCTTTGTCTTTCACATTGTGCAAGACTGACAATGAGAATTTCCTCTTCACAGTATCAACCCTTGCTGCCCACCTAGTGTCCAAAATGAACAGATTCCTCCTAATGCCCCTACTAATGGAGGAAAACTCAACCTTTAAGTCGGGAACCCACACAGTATGGATTTTCATGATATTAATCTCTTTCCTCTGTCTCTTGAATCATCACAAATTCCGGATTTTTGATCTCACTATTACTTATTCATTTGTTTCTTTTTCAATCCCAACTCTATCCCATTGACATTCAAGCTTTCAATCTTCATGTACATTTTGATAATCCCCTCTCCGTCCTTGACCCACCTAATGCTACCCTCTTCTCTATCTCCTTGATTTCCCATACCACCTTATTCTTCCTTTGCACTTATGTTCTTAATGATACCACTACCCTCACCTCCTTTCCCAACTCCCCACTAGCCTAAAATCCAATTGGCTGATGGGGTTGTTTGTGTCTTCCAATCAAAGTATCTCAATTATGGCTTGATGTTTAAGTCACTTCCTAGCATTACTCTCCTGAGTTTCAGAGCTAGTACAACATTTCTGATTGTTTTGGGGAATGGACAGTATATCTTTTCCTGATGGATCTATTTCTTGCTTCGTCCCTGAAACATATTGAACAAACAAAAGGTTAGGGTAAATGCTTAAAAGAGAACAGTTGGAGGGAGACTCAAAAGTGTTACCTCAGCTAATATAAATCCCTTTGGATCCTTCTCTAGCAAGAAATGCTTGTTCTTGTTGTCATGTTTCTCTGTCTCTCCACTCTTCTGATGCTGCTCAGCTATGCATTAACTAGCCCTGACATTTTTGCTTTATTTGCGAACATAAACTGTAGCTCTTCCTATATGCCATTTATGTCATGGGTTTTGAAGATCTAGATTCTATTATAGATATGCTAATTGACATGTAAATGTTTTGTAAATAGGTGGTGCTCCCTTAGCACCTCACATTAATACATTGTCTCTTCTTTTATTTCAAAAACCATATGCCATTTATGTCATGGCATTCTCCCTTGTGCTCCTCCAGAGGGTTTTTTGGTGAGCTTATGTCCTCATAGTTTTATGTGTCCACCTCCATTTGATCAAAAGATGGCTAATTCATTATTGAATGATTCTCTTCGGCCTAATACTCTTCCCTTCTCATCATCTTTTCCGCTAATTTCCATCTTTCCCTTTTTCTCTCCTTTTATCTCCTAGGCGGTGTAGGGATTTTAACTTATCCAATTTTTCAACATCCATTGCTTGTGGTGATAAGACCTAGTTTCGGCTTGGTTTAGGTCAGCCATTATCTTTTTTGCAGTGTCTACAGATGCAGATGAATCAGCTACAATATAGATTTCAGCCTCATTTCTGCTTTTTGATTGTTTCCTGCCTTTTCCCCCGGTTTTCTTCTCTTGCTCCCCATACACTCTAATGGTGTGGGCAGATTCTCCCTTGTTTCTATCCTCTCGCACTCTGCCTTGCTTTTCCCGCCATTATCTTCCATGGCGCTATATGCTTTGTTCGGCTCCCTTTTTTCTCTTCCACTGCCTTCTGTTGTGTACTGGACTTCTATTTTTGCAGTCTTGTAAATATTCTTTTCGTGAAATATAAACAGCAATCTTGTAAATATTAATGGATCTTTTAGTTTCTCCAGTCCATTGGCTGCCACGTCATTATAACTTCTACCCATATTTTTAT